ATGTTTGGCGATGCTAATTTGAAAACATCAAGTTGCTGCGCAGGGCTTCACTGTGCTGGCAATGGTTGGGGGATCTTTATACTATCAACACGCCCAAAAAAAGTGATATTTTATTCAAAAGTAATGCTGGTTATCTTGCACAGGCAATCTCCATTCATTCAGACAATGTCGCTTTACTTGTTCTTGGTCGTACAAGGGTACGAGTTGGCTATTGAAACGAATAAATAACGCGAAAATAGCCATTTTGGCTAACAAAACTTACGGATTTTTAATGAGCTGGTCCATTTGCTCCAATGCTTCAGTCTGCTTCATAGCAAATCTAATGTTTCGCATCTTGACATAGTCAATGAAATCTTCATCTTTTTCTAAACACTGACGAGAAACGATCTTGATTGCTGTGGTGGTTGTGTCAATAGCTTTCATCAATACGTGCACAAGCTGCGTCGGTTTTTCGTGTATCAGCCCTTTGCACACGATATATCGTTCCGCATTCGCTGGACGACTGCTCAACGGCTTTGTGATGCAAATTTCGTCGAATAGCTGATAGAGTAACCAAACAAGTCCGGCTGTACTCTCGCTCAGAATGTCAAAGAATTTGCACACAAAATGGCCGCCCTGCTTCAAGCAAGTGAGCATTGTCACAATTTCACACAACAGCAAGCGCTGAGCTGACAATTCTTGCTGTGCCTCATTTCCTGAGAAGTCGAATCCTCCATCTGCCACTGCTAAATCAACGCCCTTGGCCTTTGTTTCTTTCAGCACGGTAGCTTCAAACTGCCTAATGTTATCTGGCTTGTATATATCGCCCGTTCCGTCTGCTCCGTCAATCTGGGTCAAGCTATGGCGAGGGATGTCAGCCCTAAATTTCTCCGCATGCCAGTTCACCTCGTCAGAGCCTTTCAAAGTGATGCCAAATCCATGAGCACTTTCTCCCCAGCTGTAGACTCGCCATAACAGATACTCTGAAAACCCACCTGGCCCTCCACAGATATCTGCAAACGTAAATTCCTGCTGCCCATTGTTTGTTGCGACTAATCCGAATGTGGCATCCAATGCAGCTAATTTGGTTGCGGCTCTATTCATGAAAATGGCATTGCCCACTCTTTCGAAGGGATTGCTCTTGGATCTTGCTTCAGTTCGTTGCTCGTAAGGAATATCACGAATATTTTCCTGTGCAATGTGTTTTAGTCTGTTTATTCTTTATCGCTTTTTTTTTTAATACCCTTAATAGATTCACTTTGTCAACAAGCGCCTTGGAGCTCAAAAAGTCGTAATCTGATTCTGTCGTACATGCTGAGCATTCAATCGTATTTACAAGGTCTGTTAATGAAAGGCGCTTTTCACATTTCAAAAAATCAGTGCTGGTGCGTAACTCTAATGGTTTTGGCTTGGGCGCTGGTGGTGGTGGTGCATGATGTCTTTGTTGCTGTTGATCTGCGTAGGGTTGTCTTTGTCGCTGATGTTGTTGCGGATCAGAGGAATAACGTTGTTGCTGTTCATGGTATCTTTGGTCGGGATATTGCTGCTGGTATCTTTGGTCGTCATTCTCTTGATGATGATTTTGATACCTTCTATTATCGCGAGCCTGTCCATAAGGAGAATGTCTTTGCTGCTGCTGATGCTGCTGATGCTGACTACGCTGCATAGCAGGATTAAGCCTTGAAAGGTCATTTCCTTGACGAGGGTTTCTGGGGCGATCGCGTACTGACGGTGGACGAATTCCAGACCTGACTTGAGTTGTTCGATATTCAGGGTCGTTATCTTTCGTTGCAAGACTTGTTGTTAATAAATTGTGCAAGTTAGCAATGTAATGTACATACCAGAATAAAGGTCGCTCATCTTACATTAATCAGAAAAGAGCTTTGGAAAGTTTGTTTTGACTTTTGCTAAGTTGGTAGCGAGTCACCTAACGTCGTCAGATGGAGCTTCCATGGTGGAAGCTGTGTTCCAACCATCACTCTCTCGATGTTCGTGCTAATACCAGAATATCTCGCACTTTCGACTAATAATTGGGCAATAGGTTGCAGCACTTTTATGATTCTCTAAAATTTATTTGGCTAATTTGTGGAAAATGTAAACTACAATCACTACAACGTTAGAAAGCACAATGGGATTGTATTTTCAAAAGAAATGCTAACGTTAAGGCTTTCAGATTATACATATCAATTGATTTTGTTATTATTTATTCGTCAGAACTTTATTTATTTGGTATGATTCGCATTTCAGTCATAAAACTCAAAGGCTGCAGACATTTGGATGTCTACACATTCAGCTAGAGTATCAAGTGAAGTGAATGATCAAAATAACCATATAACGAGCTCTATACAGTCAAAGCATATTGCCGGTGAGAAATTGATGGGAACAACCATAATTCTATTCTAAATGATTGATGTGATTAACAAATCGCAACCTTGTTTATACAAACAAGCTTAAATGTTGTAAACCGGTCAGCAAAGATATCCAGATGCGAAAAGTCAGAAATCAGAAACATTTAACAAACGTATTTCCTCTGCAATAGTTCTTGGCCAAAATTATTGGATAACGTCTGCAAGATGCAAGGAATGGTTTAGTTATGTTGGCTCCATTGTAGTGATTGCACGCTTACTTACTATATTTAGTGGCATAGAGCTACTAAACTATCAAACAATGGTAACTATACTCTTTTGCGTGCCATTAATGTATACTACTGTAACCAAAGAGCTCTTTGTATCATCACTTGCAATATTTTTGGATCATTATCTTGTTATATATAACAATATAAACGCATTTCTCATGATCAGTCAGCCCCTTCAATATATAAATGAATAAGTTGTCTTTTTACATTAACACTACTTTATCCTCTCAACTCATCATGTCAACCAAAAATTCATCAGGAACCCTTCAGACAGATGAAATACTCTGCAAGATACCAGCAGAGATTTTGATGATGGTATTTTATAGCAACCTTGATAGTAAACAATTGGGCGAATGCAAGCGTGTATGTAAAAAATGGTATTCCACAGCTGAGGATGCCATGTTCAGAATAGTTAAACTAGATTCAACTGAGCAATTTGGACTATTTCAAAAGGCTTTCGTTAGCGCAGATAGAAAACCTTTTGTCGAGAAATTTACAATCGGCAAAAGCTTGATCAAGCTGCAGTATGATGTCGATTTTTTGAAAGTCTACAATGAAGTAATGGACCAGGTTTTCACTCCAAATTTGACAAGTCTCGTAGGACACTTTATAAATGAAGATCTATATGAGGTGTTACTCAGAAATGTTGAAGATCCTAACCTCCAGTTTACAAAGTTGAGATGCATTCCACGTTCTATTTCACCTTTTTCACTAGAAAAGTACTACGAGCTTGCTCTCAAACTTAGTGGCACTTTGGAGGAAGTCTTTATATCATCAAATGACGATGCTAACTTCAGTTCAATCAAAAGTTTTGGTGAATTCAAAAACCTGAAAACAACATGTGTTGGAGGATATTTAACTGAGCACAGCTTGACCAATTTGAATGATCAACTGGATACGCATGATGGATTCAAAACATTGGAGTTCTCCACCTTTGGTGTGGCTCCTGATGAAGAAGAATATGACATCAAAAACTGGTTTAGTAGAAACCCTCATTATAAAACGGTATCGTCTTTGAATCTTTTGAAAATTGAGGAGTATTCTGATTGCTCTGCTTGTCTTGAATACTCGTTGACAAAGTTTAAGAAAATCGACAAGGCTAAAATTGAAATGAAAAATTTTGCTTACCTGGATAACGCTGACCTAATCCTGAGAAAACATACTGCCGTGCTTGATATGCTGAGAGTAATTCCAAAATACGAGTTTACTTTTCTAAACCATACAAGATACAAAGATCTCAAGGAAAAACTTATTGCGTATGTTTGTTCAGACAAAAATTCTGTCATGCATACTATCGACTCCCCTGAACTCTTCAAAACTACAATTATAGTTGATAAGAAATACTAGTATTACGCTTTACCCTATGTCACCATGCATTTTTTTTTCTTTTAGCTCCATGACAAACAAGAACATGGCTTTCCCCCCCCCCAAAAAAAAATTAAAAGGTTTATCCCAACAAACATAGACACAGGTCTCTCAATTTTTATAGTTGAAGTAGTTCAACCATGTTTATAATTGTAATCCGTTCCTTAAATTGTTGCTACTTGAAAAGAATCTTGGTTTTTGTCAAGTAAGCGTAAAAATGACCTACAGCAATCACCCAAAAATTTTGTTATTAGCGCCACAAAGAGGATTAGTAACTTTTTTGGATAATGTACTCTTGAAAACGCATTAAATTGTGATTGTATCGTGTAAGAGCTATGACAGCTGCCGTTTTACATCTCAACACTACGAATACAGAACAATCAAGCACGAAATCACCAGGAAACGCAACGATTAAGAAAATCTGAAAATGTTAGCTTTTCCTGCTATCCTATTCTTGACATCATATACACAGATATCAATATATATAACGTGATATATGCTATGGGGTTATAGAATATTGTTGATAGTTGATTGTTCATCACATCTCATTAAATTAAGGTGGTAAAATTAGTTTTAATGAATCTCTCTATACAGTCTATAGACTCTTGCTTCTGACATGCTTTTATAATAGGTCTACGCATTTTAGTCAAAATCAACCTTTGGATTTCGAGCAAATTGTCGTATATTAGTTCTGACACTCAACTTCAAAACAATATCATATGTCAAATTGAATAAACCTCATCTTTTAACTGATACGTATAATTGCCTTATTGGATTTACAATTATCACGACAATAGCATCAGCACTTCATCCTAATGTCAGTTGCTCACAGACTTTGTGTGTAACCATTTTAATTAGTATATAAATATCAATTGTATCTTAAAATAATAAAGGTATCTTTTATCTCATATATAACATTTTACATACTTCCTTATAAATCTACTCTAAAACATATTTATCTGCACACGACACTAATTGAATCAATTTTACAAACAACAACTAAAAAAAAGAAAAATTTAAGCGATGACGATGGGACTCGAACCCACAACCTCCAGATTCGAAGTCTGACGCGTTATCCATTACGCTACGCCACCTGCCTATGCAGATTCTAAAAACTGTATTATTTAATAAATAAAATACAGTGTGAAAAATCACGTGATACTTTGTAGAAGATTACAGTTTATATATTTTCGACTAATTTCACCAGCTATTTTTTCTGATGAAAATACATTAGATGGCAGCTACAAGCTCTATAAAGTCATTGAGTGTGTCATTGAGCATTTAATTGGTTGAAGGGGACAAATTACGTGAAAATTAGGTGCATTGGTGATGGTGTCTACAAAATGTAATACCCCATTTATCGTGCTTTTTATAATGTCCTATGGCGATAACGCTTGTGCGGGAAAACGCAAGTGCAAAAGCTATCTGATGAGAAAATGAAGGCAAAAATGAAAAAAAATCATTCAATAGCATTACTTTGCGAATTTTTTTGCTTGGTAATGTCTCGTATTGCAGATACTCACAAATTTAACTTTAATAGTGTAAAAAAAAGCAATGCAAAAAATGCATGTTTCAAGATCGGAAAACATGCACCAACTTCAAAATAGGTTCACGACAGATTGGACATTCGTTCTTTGATTCGATCAACTGTATAGCAAAAAGAAAAAAAAAACCAAGATTAATCATCTCTTTCCCTACATATACTATGAAAAACTCACCTTTTTAGCACATTCCATACAAGTTACCATATGCCCACAGTCTAGAAACACACAATTTTGCTGAGCATCCATACAGATTCTACACATAGTATCCTCGTTTCCTGATGTACCACTAGTGCCACTATCACTACCATCATTATTGGCGTGTTCAGTCTTATATGAATCGACCAGCCTAATCACAAGCTTGACAAGTTCTGATTTTTCAATGACATGAGATTGCTCCACATAATTTGCTTTCAAGATCGATTTCAACGTTCGTACAGATAATGATGCAGGATCAATTTTGGCTTTTACCATATCATGGAGCGATAAAAGATTCTCACTATTAGGTATTGGCGGTGATGATGGTTGAGGAGGGTTGTAATGTCGTCCCTCTCTTTGCCGCTGTTGCTCCTGCTGTCGCATATACTGTTCTCTTTGCCTTTGATGTTGCTGTTCCCGTTCCCGTTGCTGTTGCTGTTGTTGTTGTTGTTGTTGTCGCATATACTGCTCCCTTTGTTGCCTCTGTGTTCTTTGCTGTGTCTGCTGTTGCATTCGTCTATTCTGCTCCTGCCTTTGTCTTTGTTCCTGCAAAATACGTCTAGACTCTTGTTCCCTTCTTTGTTGCTCATTGTATGATGTGTTATTATTAGATTCTTGGCAATTTGAATTCGGGGTAAACAGTTCCTGCATCATGTTGGAAAATGAAAAGCTTTTTTTATCATTATCAGCTAATTCACTTGTCGGTATTGCTTTTTTTTGACGATTTCTTCTATAGTGTTGTTCATTGTCATTGGATATAGGCCTTGTATTGAAGATAATACTAACTAAGTCGCTTTTTTCCAACGCCATTTTCGAGGGTAGTTGATAGGAAGCAATGTATTCTTTCAACTCTTTTAGAGATAATTCTGATAGTCTTTCAGATCCCATATTTTGCATTTGTATCAGCCTCTCGCAAGTGTCACAGCATCTCACAGGACTTGATCAAAGGATTAGTCGATTGTTTTTTTTGACACGGAAGGAGAGAAAGAAACACTTACTTGTCATAGCCAAATTTTTTGAGTGCATTCTTGTGATCTGAACAACTAGAGCACACAACATTACCTTAAAATGACAATTAGTACATGATGGTCTGTTGTTTTTTCCATGTAACATGTACCTACCGCAGTTTCGACAGTGATATTTTTGTTTGAATAAGCTGAATTCGTCTCCACATTCGTAACAATGTTTAGTTGAATTAAAAGACTTTAGTTTTGGGACCACAAAAACACCTCCCGGGCCAAATGTATTTGCGTTTGTTTGCGACAGTGTGAATGGATCTAAAGAAACAAAATTCGGAAAAAGTGGTATAAGAAGCGAGAAAACTGAATCAGTCTTTTGAGCAAGATACAATCATCTATTATATTAGTAATGTGACCGCCCAATACCATAAGACCTCGTCTTGTGCACCTTGAGCTTCGGGGCTGCTTCTCAATTATGAAACTATTCGCAACAGCTTCACAACAATACTTATAACAGCATATCTTTCAGCTGTTCTAAAAAAAATTTGGATTAAACAGACTATAAAAGGCCACAAATTTTTTTTAAAGCGAAAACAGCCAACTAAGCAGTATTCGAAACATCAAATGCAATTAATGTATCAAGGTTCATAGTTTAGTCGTGTATAATACAAGTTACCACAGGTAAATTTCTATTCATATGATGGTAGCAATGATTAAAAAAAGGTTATGGCCCTTGCTTTGTATATGAGATTGGGCGATACAATATTATTCATATATACTTTTGAGTAGTCTCTTTCGCATGTATAACGTTAATACCAATTGATATACCTCATAATTCTTATTACTGCATATTGTTTGATAATTTTCAGCTGCATCATATTGTTCACCATTCTAACAAGGATTGGCAAACATTTGACCTTGATCTAACTTGAAATTTCCCTCTAACAAGGTCCCCAGTAACTTTGTTGTCTTCCAGACTATTTACTAATATATCTTTACAGTAACAGGGTTTCACTCTACCATACCAGATGGCACGATGGCCATTTAAAGTATAGATAACTAAATTACCAGCAAATGCGTGCCCTAGAATCTTTACTCAATCAGTATATATTAAATCCATAATACTATATCTAATAAAAACCTCCTAAATGGCTAACAAGGGCAATCTTAGTTGTTCTTTCATCTTTATCTGCACTCAGTGATGCTTGTTCAAGTGCTTTCTGCAATAAGGACCCAACAGTTCCACAACGACGATCTTTGTTGGCATGGCCACAAACCAAGATTAAGTTTGTATAGGGACAAGAATAAACGAAAAAGCCTAGTGATATGGCTTTCCGTAGATGTAATACAACAAGGCATCAACTCTTCTAGGGGTTATGTTTGATACAATGATATTATCTGGTAAAAGCAGAACGTCTGTGCCGGATGATGTCGAATGTACAGAAGGTAACGAACAATTTTTTACAATCACACGTTGGGTTCCTTCTCCGTCTTTCGCTTCTACATTGTTGCATCCAACAGGGTGATACCTATTCTCAAATGATCTCTGATCAAGTTTTTTTCTTTTTCGTAAAGCGTCAATAAATGCTCGTGCTAGCCCTTCATCTTCGATATGAGCAGGCCAGTCAGTTTTACCTGTCATAATAGCAATATGAATAGCATAAGGAGACACAGTACTTTTTAATGGTTTTGTTGTGTCAATCTTTATATTGAAAGGTATCAAAGGATGTGAGCAAGGCTTATCACATTCTTTGAATTCAATGGGTATAATTGGATTTAATTCTTGGATATCGAGAGGCGAGAAGACGAATACAAATTACTTAGGCAGTCGACAAGCCATTTCATTTCAGCTAGACATTTATAATATATCAAAGAGAGAGAGAGAGAGAAGTACGATCATGTAATGCCTCAGTCTTTCCAGTATTTTATTGAGTAAAATCATATGTAATCAGATCTGGTTTTGAAGCTCCGGATGCTATACTTTCTGATATCACCATGGCAACAGGAGACCAGATCATTCAACAACGTTTGCATAGATCACAAAATGTAGCAAGCTCAATATCCCTAGTTGATAAACCACTACAATCATGTGTAGATAATGTGATTTCGACTCTGTTGTAAACCTACGAAAACACTAATTAGTTTCGCTGTAAAAAAATTATTTGCAATCATTTTATTGATTTACATTGAACCATTCAGGATGGTGAGCAAGCGCATCTGCCTTCAATGCAACACGTGTCATAAAACCAAAGGCTTCGTTAAAATCTTGAAATGAATACTTTTTAATGATGGCATCTCTGTTTTCTACCATGGCCCAGCCGGAGGAAAGCAATGGAGAAAGAAGCTGATCGCGTTGAGCCTGAGTAAGTGTTGATACAGACATTTTTGAAGAATTATAGAAGAGAAAAGGGTTTGCCAACGCTCGTTTCAAGCCTAGAAGCATTTTTTATGTTAAGATCTAGTTTCCCACGGTGTTGGTGAAAAGAGATTGACATGCCTGAAAAGCTATTAAATCACCCAAATGCCCGGCATTCAAATTTTATAGTGATATTGATGTCGGCTACTTTTTCACAGTAGCTTATATAAAGAAAAACCACACAAAAGAATGTGAAGTGTCAAACTGTTTTTTTTCATGTACCGAGCTTTCTGTACGTCTATAAGTGCTCTTATCGATGACCCAATATATAGACCAGAATGACCCAGAATCAAATGCAAGGTGCTTTTTCCACTTTGGGTGACTCGGTAAAAACTGCTTCAAGTACGATTAGCAAACGTTCATCTTTTTTTTTATCTGAAAACCTTTGTTGAGAGCCAATAATTAAAATGGATAAAAAGAGTAAGTATACTTTAGAGTCGATGAAATTGATGCTAATGCGGTAGTAAATTAGAATCTCAAGTTGAAAGACCCATTGTTTTCTTTGACGTTTCGATTGGTGATGTCCCTGTTGGGCGTATGAAGATGGAGCTTTTTTCTGATATCGTTCCCAAAACAGCAGAAAACTTTAGGTAAAGGCAATCTAATGATTTAAGCTTTTTTCTTCTTTCACTAATATAACTACCGATACGCGTTTATTTTGTGCTAACAGACAGTTATGTACAGGCGAATACAAGTAAATTCAACCTTGACATTTAGCATTTGCGCTCGACCATTACAACTAACAAAATACACAGGAAAAATAACCAACCACAAGGATTTAAAAACTGCTTATTCCACAGGTAACTGGTAGAGCAATTAACCTCATATATCTCTACTTACGGTATACCGAATATGTAGAGTAATCAAGGATTTCATGGTACAAGGTGGAGACTTTTTAAAGGGCGATGGCACTGGATCAATGAGCATATATGGCGATAAGTTTGAAGATGAAAACTTTGTAGAAAAGCATAGCGGCCCAG